TATATATATTGTCTATACAGTATATCGAAAAAATGAGAACTAAACAGCATTCAAGGTTTTTGTGGATCCATTTGAGGGATTCAGTTAATCTGATGTATTCAAACACTTATAAGAGTGATCCTACAAACAGAATAATTTAAGTAAAGACTTCCAACTTCTACAAAAACTCTGGTAAAAGCCATACATATAGGTTTCATACACTACTGTATATGTTCTTCAGGTCAATATTTGTTGTTGTTTAGTTCTTAAGTCGCATCTGACTCTTCGTGACCCCATGGACCAGAGCACGCCAGGCCCTCCTGTCTTCCACTGCCTCCCGGAGTTTGGTCAAATTTAATGACACTGTCCAACCATCTCGTCCTCTGTCGTCCCCTTCTCCTCTTGCCTTCACACTTTCCTAACATCAGGGTCTTTTCTAGGGAGTCTTCTCTTCTCATGAGATGGCCAAAGTATCGGAGCCTCAGCTTCAGGATCTGTCCTTCCAGGGAGCACTCAGGGTTGATTTCCTTCAAAATGGAGAGGTTTCTTCTCTTTGCAGTCCAGGGGACTCTCAAGAGCCTCCTCCAGCACCACAATTCAGCTAAGTACTTGTCCAGTTTATAGTGTACTTACATCCCTATTTTGCTATGATCTTCAATGGAACAACGAACTGTTATTAGCCCATTAGTTTCAAGGAATAAAACGAGCAGCATGACAGGAACAGGGTTAATTCAAATCACAAGGAATGAAATTCACATAGATCCTTCTTCCTATGCTCTTTGAATGGGACCATTCTCATCCTCGGAAAGTTTCCAATTTACAGAGCACATGGGATTCCTCCACCCACCCAAGGACCCACATATTTGCCTTGATGTTCCAAATTTATGGCAACCGATATCCTGTACTGACTGAACTGGTGCGGCTGACAACGGGACACCAGGTTCAACTTCCTGTTCAGCCGGAACGCATACAAGTTCGCACTCACATGTAACTTCGAAACAGGCACAAAGCTTGAAAAACTTACTTCGCTGGACAAGTTGTTTAGCCTTACATGCTCTGGCTTCAGGGTTTTTAGGTTGTCCCACTCCTTATAAGAAAGAGTTTGAAAGCTTTTGTCTCTCTTTTCAACTAACTATAGTTATTTGTCACATCTGGACTTGGATAAATTACTATTTAGCTCTTACTATGACTCAGGAAGGAAGTTTGTTTCATCCAAGATACCAGGACCTTCCCCCACCACCACCCCGTAAATCAGGAGATGCTAACCTATGGTGTCTCCGGAAGGCTCTACGTGATTTACGTAATAATACATAATAATAATCATGTGCTATCAAGTCCCTGCAGACCTATGATGACCATTTCCCAGGGTTTTCTAGGTAGAATATGATTTCCCATTGCCGCCTTCTGGGGGTGCCCTGGGACTGTGCAGCTTGACCAAGGCCACCCAGGCTGGCTCTTCCCTCGGGAGGCCCTGTGGAGAATCGAACTCCCAACTTAAACTACTGAGCTATCCAGCCAGCTCCTATTGGTCTAGAGTTTGAAAAAACAAAACAAAACACAAGGGCCCCCAATCCCATTTAGGGCAGCACAGGATCCTGCTTGTTCCTTCTCCAACAACTTCACCGTCCTGCCCAACTTAAATAAGGTAAGCAAGAACATTAACACCAGTGACTGGTCCCGAAAAAGCAACAGAACACCTGGGTCACGTTACCTGATTAAAAGCAAGAATGGTCAAAGCAAGGCTTCAGCAGGTTGTCTCGTTCCAAAGTAAGGAATGCCGTTGCAAGTATAGTCAATAATAACAATTAAATGCAGTTTTTACAAAGATAGCCCCACTACCCTCTTTCAGCAGGTACTTTTTTTTAAAGGGCTAGTGGTGTGTTCTTTCGTGCAGGGGCATCTTTAGAAGTAGGCTTCAGCCCATGAATTTTATATATCAAGTGGGTCTCTGGCTGTGTAGCCAGAGGTTGGTTCAATTCCCCACTCTGCTTCCTTGAAAGCAGTTGGACATGATGATCCGTAGGGTCGCTTCCAGCTCGCAGTTCAAAACTGATGATGATGATGATAACATGTTAATCTTTTAGGTGCCCAAGACATAATAAAGAAAACTAATCTTTTAAAAAAAGATTTAAAAAAATCTTAGCCAATATGTGTGTGTGTATATATACCATATTTTTCCATGTACAGTGGTGCCTCGCTTAACAGGTACCCCGTTTAACGATGAAATCGCATAGCGATTAACTTCTTGCGATTGCTTTGCGATGGTCTGAATGGGTTTTTTTCGTTTTGCGATGATCAGTTCCCTGTTTCGCTTACCGATCATCGCAAAGCGATGTTTTTTAAACAACTGATTGGTGGTTCCAAAATGGCCGCCGGGTAAAAAAAAATGGGTGCCCGCTGTGTTTAGGGACGGATTCCTCGCTTACCGGGCAGCGAAAATGGCCGCCATATGGAGGATTTTCACTTAAAGGTAAGTTTTTAGCCCATAGGAAGGCATTAAACAGGTTTAAATACGTTTCTATGGGCTTTTTTAAATCATATAACAACAAAATCGCTTAGCAGTTATTTTTGCTGCACTGATTATCACCGCTATGCGAGGCACCACTGTATAAGACTATACTTTTGTCTACAATCTTTACACTAAAAATTGAAGGTTGTCTTATACACAGAAGTAAGCTGAGGAGAGAGACTGGAGGGGAAAGCAAGGATCAAAGTGATCCTGCAGCGCTTTGATCTCTTCCCCTACACTTGCTAAGTCCCACTTAGATTTCTTAATTTTGAATTAGACATATTTTTCCGTGTATAAGAGATGCCCCCTTGTATAAGACGCCACCACTTGTCTAATCCAAAATTAAGAAATCTAAGTGGGACTTAGCAATATATATATACAAACACACGCCATTGCTCTTGCATAAGCTCTTTGCAACCTTTTTTGGAGTACTGAGTTCCTTTTCAGCATCCAGCTGGCTATTTAACCTCAGGGCCACCAAGCACTTGACCCTTGCCTGCTGTCCATGCTGCCACCATGGCCACCACTTGTCTAATCCAAAATTAAGAAATCTAAGTGGGACTTAGCAATATATATATACAAACACACGCCATTGCTCTTGCATAAGCTCTTTGCAACCTTTTTTGGAGTACTGAGTTCCTTTTCAGCATCCAGCTGGCTATTTAACCTCAGGGCCACCAAGCACTTGACCCTTGCCTGCTGTCCATGCTGCCACCATGGCACACGGTTATTGGCTTGGCACAGTTACTGTTGACGCCCTCCGTTTGCTCTGCCAGGGACATCGTGGAAGCAATCAAACCGCATGACATTTGTGTGTTTGCTCTTGTGAAAGAGTTGTGGATCCATCATTCTCTTCTTTTTGAAAAAAAAAGTCCCTACCCCCTCCATCCTTGCTCCGCTATCTTGTATTTACTTAGTTGCCTTCTGACAATAAAATAAGCAAGATACTGTATAAAGCTGAATAAATAATGTGGGAGTGCAATATCCTTGAGTTTAATAAGGGGATTGCAGAATGTTTACTGAGTAAAACACATTAGAAGCACAGTTCTGCGCTTTCTCCCTGGAAATAAGATATGCCTTCTGTCCCCTTTTCACTATCTCCTAGCTTTCTGAAAACGCATTATGCTGCTTAAATGTTAAAATCCATAAAGCTATTGCAGAGGTTTTGAATTTTAGTTCAATTCCCTCAGCTGCACAGCAGAAGGCACAGGGCTTCACGAGGCAAAATAGCTTCACATTAGTCCACCCCTTTTTTTCTTCACCAGTTGGCACTTATAGTCTCAATAGTTCACTCTGTGAGGCAAAATAGCTTCACATTCACCAGAGTAGTCCACCCCATTTTTCTTCACCAACTGGCACTTATAGTCTCAATAGTTCACTCTGACATTAGTAATCAAAAGAGTAAAACATATTTCTTTA